AATTTTATATTAATGCTCAGTCTGATGTCCACCTATATGAAGTGCATTGCTGTTTTTTATGCACACTTTATCTGTAAACTGCCTTACCCTCATGCAAATTAATTTGCTTAATCTTTCCATTTTTTTCCACTTGTATATCCTTCACCCAGTAGTTCATTTTCTACTGAATTCCTGAAAGATTGTAATGCTTTATTTTTGTAAATGTTTACTTGTAATGGAGCCTCCTATACCTTGATTTTTGCCATTATGTCCGCAGCTGGCCATTAATTTGCATAAGCTGTATCATGTACTTATAGAAATAAAGATAATTACGTATTATTATTGTTATTAACATCTGTATATCTTTGTAGAACAACAAGGAACTTGCAGACCAGTTTCACCTCCAACCTGCCAAGTTCTACACGTACCTGAACCAATCTGGCTGCATTACTATAGATGGGGTAGATGACGTGCGCAAGTTCGATAATCTACGCTTGGCTTTCAATGTTTTGCACGTACCGCCAGAAATCTGTGATGGGATATATGGAACCCTTGCGGCCATCCTCTGGCTTGGCAACTTTGAGGTGAGTTTCTACATTATAGAATATTCATGTATACTATGAATATAATATCTGAGTTATATTGCTTGTCTTATATAATGTACACAGTATAAGATGAATACAACAGCTAAATTACATTACATGTTAGGCAAATATAAAATTACTTTTCGATAAATTTTATTTGATAATTTTTATACATTAGTGTATATATGATCAAAGGTAAATGTAAATTAATTTGCTATATAATATACTGTACCTAATTTTATGCTTATTGGGTAAGAGAGAGATGTATTCATATTCAAATAGTTTATTTGGACATAATACATAGTTGTACAAGGAATTATAGTTGGGTGTACATGCCAAAAGCCCCTTGTATGCAGAGCATTATGGGCAGGCTTAAAATTAACAAGCAATGAAAGGTTCAGTGTTAAAAATTACCGTAAACAATTTACAATATGAAGTACAATTGAGTATTTGAAACAATGAAATTTGAACATTTCGATATTGAAGCATTATAGTTGCACAAATTTGTCACATTACAATGTATAACAAACAAGATGATCGATTTACTATATGCTGTCTTGAAGTTGTAAGATTTAAGTAATTGGGAGAATTATTGGTAATGTTAAATACTGAGTGGTAATTATTTAGTCCTGGGCGAGTAAGTGGTTTTTTAGAAGAGTCTTAAATTGATTTTCAGGCCTGGTTACTTTAGTATGTTCTGGTAATGAATTCCAGATTTTGGGGCACTTTATGTACCTAGAGTTTTTACACAGTGTGATATGGACACGGGGAGCATCAAAAAGAGATCTGTGTCTTGTGTTATGGTTGTGTGTCCTGTTAAGGTTGATGAGGAGAAGTTTGAGTGGAGGGTTTATGTTTGCGTGTATTGTTCTATGTATATAGTAGGCACATGAATAAATGTGGATGTTCTTTATGGTGAACAAATTTAGACTTTTGAATAGAGGTGGAGTATGCTGTCGCGGGTGGGAATTTGTTATCATTCTGAATGACATATGCTTAGTTCATGATGTAAATAGCTTAGAAACCAACTAGTTGAAGAATGAGACATTTGTGCAACATTGGGCAGTCATTATTGTGGACATGGTTCTGCAATAAAGATTCCCAAATGTTGCATAAGTGTCTCATTCTTCACAGGCTTAGTACGGTATACTGTACAATCCATGAATCTGAGTAGGAGTTTGAGGTATAGATTGATGCTATACAGTATACTGCATTTTTTTTTTTTTTTTTGTTTTATCTTGCAGTTTGCAGATATTGATGGGGAAAAGTGTGAGTTGACAGACAATGACAAAGAGGTGCTAACTATAGTGTCGGAGCTGCTGGGACTGACGGAGGACGATCTTCTTGGTATTGTGCTTCAGAGGCAGATAAATATCAGAGGAAACATAACTCACATCCCACTCAAACATGCTGAAGCCAGGGAAAACAGACATGCTATGGCAAAAGCACTTTACTCTCGCACATTTGCATGGCTGGTGGACCATATCAACAAATGTACCAACCCAGGCCAGGACCAAACTAGGTGATCTTTTCGTTTCTTAAATATTTACACATTCATAGACAGAAAAGTAACTTAGTAATCAGTGACATGTATAAGCTATCATGCATGGCCATATCTGAGGTTTCTAATGAATAAAGTAACTTACAAAACACTGATTTATTATATGTGCATGTATAGATATCAGCATGTTGCCACATCTTGGGACTATTCTAATAATTTTTTGAGCCTTTACTAAAATCCCATTTTAAAAAAGCCAACATTTTAAAACAAGATAATTAAAGACATAAACTATATTTGCCTGTATACAGTGTTAACTTGACATGTTTGATCAAAAATTGATTCTGTAAACCGGGTATTAATTGTTTTTTTCTTCCCAGGTTCCTGGGCGTGTTGGACATCTTCGGCTTTGAAAATTTTGCAGTTAACTCCTTTGAACAATTGTGTATTAATTACACCAATGAAAAGTTGCACAAATTTTTCAATCATTATGTATTTGCTCTGGAACAAGAAATAGTAAGACTATTTTTATTGTAATTTTTTAATTGAAGATCATTAACTTGTAGAAATTACTCCATAAACAAAGGTGGAGTTCTACTTGTAACATAATATAAGTAGGAAATTAATTTTCATCTTTTAATTATGGTACAAAATTTATATAAAACAATTTTTTTTTTTTGAGTTTATATCTTGGTAACCAATTTCTGTATTTTTTCACATAGTGTGCTCATGTTAAAACCACAGAAAATTTATTAATCGAAAATTATTCTTCCAGTATCGTCAGGAGGAAATAAAATTTTCTCACATTACTTTTACTGACAACACTGAGTGCCTAGAATTAATGGAGAAACCCCCAAGATGTATTCTTAAGCTCCTCTCCGAAGAATGCCGAATGCCAAAGGTTAGTTGTTACTCAGGCATGTCAGTTTTTAGCTAAGTTACTGTACTCCAGATTTTTCAAGAGAATACAATATGGTTGACCATGTGAGGTGCTGATCTTATATCCAGTAGGGCCCCACTTATACAGCAAGTTACGTTCCAAGCTACCGCCGTAAAGCGAAAATCACCGTAAAGTGGAACATTCTTTTTTTCCACTCTTAAATGCATGTCAATACTAGTTAACAATAGAACTAGGCATTTAAAAACAATAAAAATGTAAAATACATATATAGTACACTCATTACTTAAAATATTTGTGGTCTTAATCTTGGGTGAGATGAGTAGTACATGTATTTATTGTAAGAAATCAAGTGTGGTATGTATGGTAGTCAGCCAGGCTACCATACCAGGCCACCCTACCCACACATAATATTCTGTGACATTTAAGCATCCCAGAGCGATAAAATGCATATACATTTCACTCATTACTTACCTTAAAATATTTGTAATCTGAATGTAGGATCAGAGGTGAGTAAACGAGATAAAACAAATAAATGACAGAGAAAATGAGTACACGAGAGAGGACACTCGCAGAGTTAAGGAAACAAACCAGGCGAATGCAAGTTTTGTAAACAAACCAGGCGAATGCAATTTTTGTTAACAAACCAGGCGAATGCAAGTTTTGTAAACAAACCAGGCGAACATGTTTGGTTTCTGTACAAGTTACATTGTGTACAAGTTGTCTCTACGTTGTTACAGTAGTATAAATAAAGAGGAACACTCCCATTCTCATGTAACTCCATTTTTAGAAGAAATGACACTTGAGTGAAGGCATACGAAAGGAATAATTTTCTACAGTTACCCCCAGTAACACATTTTCTCTGATGTTGGACTAGAGAAAACGTTATTCTTGCAGTCACTCGTACAAGTCGTCTGGCTACCACATCTCATATTTATGTTAATTTATTCTACTATGGGGGTGTATTTATCATGTTTATATGTTATATATCATGTTTGCTATATAATTTTGAAAAAATATCATAGTTGGATTAATGAAAATGTGTATATTAATGTAATATACGACATTTAATGAGACTGATTATTATTATTATTATTATTATTATTATTATTATTATTATTATTATCATTATTATTATTATTATTATCATCATTATCATTACTGATATGGCATCTCGAGGCATAAGACACTCTTACTGATTTAAATGTGTACCTACACGCCAGCACAGTGTGTAAGTTTTTAGGTACAGGTATACATAAGTATTATCAGAGTACATGTATATATAAAATATGAAATAACTCTTAAAAATACTTGAAATTTTGGAGTTTCCAGACATAACGGAGAGACGTGGTGCTTATGGAGCTCACGGAGAATGTAAACAAATTGGGTAGGGCGTGGTGCCCGTATTAGAAAGTCAGGTGGAGGGAGCCATATAGCGAGTTTTGGTCATAATTTGAAATGTCCGTATTATCAGAACGCCATAAAGCGAAACGCTGTAAAGCGGGGCCCTACTGAGGAGGTCCCTGCTTATACATCAGGTTAGGTTCTGGGCTACTGCTGTACATACTGCATACACTCTTCCTTCATGGTGTAGTAGTACTTTACCAAGGTTTCCTGGAATAAAAATCTATCGTTATTCAAAACATTTTGGCATATGTAACATACTTTTTTTGTACAAAACCCTTATCTGTTCAGCTTTTGTACATGTTGAATCACAGCAAATTTATTTTTAGGGTTCTGATAAGTCTTACTTGACTAAGCTGCACCAAGAATTTGAGGGTCATCCCAACTATATCAAAGGTGACGACAGAAGAAAATGGGAAGTTGAATTTGGCATCAACCACTATGCAGGTGTGTGCTTACTCCAACACTTGTATAATATTCTAGCTATAAAGTAATACCGGGTGTTTCACTCGTAAGAGGCCCTGAGTTAGTACTCCCGTAGTTGCAACCGTCTTGTTTGTTTATTATGTCTATAGTAAACGATAACTCTGGGCTTCGTACTGGTAGGAGTACAAGTAAGAAGAGCGTCTGTCTAGTGCTCAGCAGATGGAGGATCAAGCCTCCACCTCGTCTTGCACTGAATGATCCACGTGGGTTTGGCACATAACGTGAATTATTTAAATTTTTCCACAAAAATGAGGCTCTTGGTAATATATCTGCTCCCAAGAGAATATCTACCTGGAGTATACCTGGAGAAGGTTTTGGGGGTTAGCGCCTCTGTGGCCTGGTCTGAGACCAGGCCTCATGGTGGGTCAGGGTCTGATTAACTAGGCTGTTACTGCTGGCTGCATGCAAACTGACATCCATATTCCATGCTTGTCTTCTGCAGTTATAAATAAATGGCATGGTACAGTAAGTCCTTGATGTACAGACACGTTGAGAATCTTTTGTATTGCATATCTCATTATTATATCATTATTGTGTATAATATCATTACTGTATTATACACAATACAGAAGGTCCCCAACGTGTTCGTAAGTTGAAGACTTTCTGTATTTTGAATATCATACACAATTTGGGAGGTTCCCAATGTGTTTGTAAGCCAAGGATTTACTGTATAAACCTTGGTAATAGATACCAACAACTTGGGTTAGAGAGATACATAAGCAAACACTAGGAGATATTTATGTATTAGAAAATGTTATGGTCCCGGGACCTTGATTACTTCCCAGGACAGAATTGTTTTTTTTTTTTTTTTCAACAAGTCGGCCGTCTCTCACCGAGGCAGGGTGACCCAAAAAAGAAAGAAAATCCCCAAAAAGAAAATACTTTCATCATCATTCAACACTTTCACCACACTCACGCATTATCACTGTTTTTGCAGAGGTGCTCAGAATACAACAGTTTAGAAGCATATACGTATAAAGATACACAACATATCCCTCCAAACTGTCAATATCCCAAACCCCTCCTTTAAAGTGCAGGCATTGTACTTCCCATTTCCAGGACTCAAGTCCGACTATATGAAAATAACCGGTTTCCCTGAATCCCTTCACTAAATATTACCCTGCTCACACTCCAACAGATCGTCAGGTCCCAAGTACCATTCGTCTCCATTCACTCCTATCTAACACGCTCATGCACGCTTGCTGGAAGTCCAAGCCCCTCGCCCACAAAACCTCCTTTACCCCCTCTTTCCAACCCTTTCGAGGACGACCCCTACCCCTCCTTCCTTCCCCTATAGATTTATATGCTTTCCATGTCATTCTACTTTGATCCATTCTCTCTAAATCACCAAACCACCTCAACAACCCCTCTTCTGCCCTCTGACTAATGCTTTTATTAACTCCACACCTTCTCCTAATTTCCAGACTCCAAATTTTCTGCATAATATTTACACCACACATTGCCCTTAGACAGGACATCTCCACTGCCTCCAACCATCTCCTCGCTGCTGCATTTACCACCCAAGCTTCACATCCATATAAGAGTGTTGGTACTACTATACTTTCATACATTCCCTTCTTTGCCTCCATAGATAACATTTTTTGACTCCACATATACCTCAACGCACCACTCACCTTTTTTCCCTCATCAATTCTATGATTAACCTCATCCTTCATAAATCCATCGCCGACACATCAACTCCCAAGTATCTGAAAACATTCACTTCTTCCATACTCCTCCTCCCCAATTTGATATCCAATTTTTCTTTATCTAAATCATTTGATAGCCTCATCACCTTACTCTTTTCTATGTTCACTTTCAACTTTCTACCTTTACACACATTCTCAAACTCATCCACTAACCTTTGCAATTTTTCTTTAGAATCTCCCATAAGCACAGTATCATCAGCAAAAAGTAACTGTGTCAATTCCCATTTTGAATTTGATTCCCCAAAATTTAATCCCACCCCTCTCCCGAACACCCTAGCATTTACTTCCTTTACAACCTCATCTATAAATATATTAAACAACCATGGTGACATTACACATCCCTGTCTAAGACCTACTTTTACCGGGAAGTATTTTCCCTCTCTTCTACACACCCTAACCTGAGCCTCACTATCCTCATAAAAACTCTTAACAGCATTTAGTAACTTACCACCTATTCCATATACTTGCAACTTCTGCCACATTGCTCCTCTATCCACTCTATCATATGCCTTTTCTAAATCCATAAATGCAATAAAAACTTCCCTACCTTTATCTAAATACTGTTCACATATATGCTTCAATGTAAACACTTGATCTACACATGCCCTACCCACTCTGAAGCCTCCCTGCTCATCTGCAATCCTACATTCTGTCTTACCTCTAATTCTTTCAATTATAACCCTACTGTATACTTTTCCTGGTATACTCAGTAAACTTATTCCTCTATAATTTTTACAATCTCTTTTGTCCCCTTTCCCTTTATATAAAGGGACTATACATGCTCTCTGCCAATCCCTAGGTACCTTCCCCTCTTTCATACATTTATTAAACAAAAGTACCAACCACTCCAACACTATATCCCCCCCTGCTTTTAACATTTTTGTCATGATCCCATCAGTTCCAGCTGCTTTACCCCCTTTCATTCTACGTAATGCCTCACGTACCTCCACCACACTTACATTCTGCTCTTCTTCACTCCTAAAAGATGGTGTACCTCCCTGGCCAGTGCATGAAATTACCGCCTCCCTTTCTTCCTCAACATTTAAAAGTTCCTCAAAATATTCTCGCCATCTACCTAATACCTCCCTTTCCCCATCTACTAATTCCCCTACTCTGTTTTTAACTGACAAATCCATACTTTCCCTAGGCTTTCTTAACTTGTTTAACTCACTCCAAAATTTTTTCTTATTTTCATTAAATTTTCTTGACAGTGCCTCTTCCACTCTATCATCTGCTCTCCTTTTGCACTCTCTCCCCACTCTCTTCACCTTTCTTTTACTCTCCATATACTCTGCTCTTCTTATAACACTTCTCCTTTGTAAAAACCTCTCATAAGCTACCTTTTTCTCTTTTATCACACCCTTTACTTCATCATTCCACCAATCACTCCTCTTTCCTCCTGCCCCCACCCTCCTATAACCACAAACTTCTGCCCCACATTCTAATACTGCATTTTTAAAACTATTCCAACCCTCTTCAACCCCCCCACTACTCATCTTTGCACTAGCCCACCTTTCTGCCAATAGTCGCTTATATCTCACCCGAACTTCCTCCTCCCTTAGTTTATACACTTTCACCTCCCTCTTACTTGTTGTTGCCACCTTCCTCTTTTCTCATCTACTTCTTACTCTAACTGTAGCTACAACTATATGATGATCCGATATATCAGTTGCCCCTCTATAAACATGTACATCCTGGAGCCTACCCATCAACCTTTTATCCACCAATACATAATCTAACAAACTACTTTCATTATGTGCTACATCATACCTTGTATATTTATTTATCCTCTTTTTCATAAAATATGTATTACTTATTACCAAATTTCTTTCTACACATAGCTCAATTAAAGGCTCCCCATTTACATTTACCCCTGGCACCCCAAATTTACCTACTCCATAACATTTTTACCCACTTTAGCATTGAAATCCCCAACCACCATTACTCTCACACTTGATTCAAAACTCCCCATGCATTCACTCAACATTTCCCAGAATCTCTCTCTCCTCTACACTTCTCTCTTCTCCAGGTGCATACACACTTACTATAACCCACTTTTCACATCCAATCTTTATTTTACTCCACATAATCCTTGAATTTATACATTTGTAGTCCCTCTTTTCCTGCCATAGCTTATCCTTCAACATTATTGCTACTCCTTCTTTAGCTCTAACTCTATTTGAAACCCCTGACCTAATCCCATTTATTCCTCTCCATTGAAACTCTCCCACCCCCTTCAGCTTTGTTTCACTTAAAGCTAGAACATCCAGTTTCTTCTCATTCATAACATCCACAATCATCTCTTTCTTATCATTTGCACAACATCCACGCACATTCAGACTTCCCACTTTGACAATTTTCTTCTTATTCTTTTTAGTAATCTTTACAGGAAAAGGGGTTACTAGCCCATTGTTCCCGGCATTTTAGTTGACTTTTACGACACGCATGGCTTACGGGGGAAAGATTCTTATTCCACTTCCCCATGGATATAAAAGGAAAAGGAATAAGACCAAGAACTATTAAGATCAAATCAAAGAAAACTCCGATGAGTGTGTATAAATAAACGCGTACATGTATGTGTAGTGTGACCTAAGTGTAAGTAGAAGTAGCAAGACATGCCTGTAATCTTGTATATTTATGAGACAGACAAAAGACACCAGCAATCCTACCATCGTGTAAAACAATTACAGGCTTTCGTTTTACACTCACTTGGCAGGACGGTAGTACCACCCTGGGTGGTTGTTGTCTACCAACCTACTACCATAACAGAAATGTTTTCTAATAAATGTGTCTTAGTGTTTGCTTATGTGTCTTTTTAAATTATAAATAATTGGTGATATTTTATCCATGGACACATGTGCATTTCTAAAAGACCTGAAACTTTTAGGTCAAGATGATGTCCTGAACAAGACTGTCATGTCAAGGTGAAGGCCTGAACAAGACTCTCATGTCAAAAAGATGGCCTGGACAAGACTATCATGTATTGGTCCATTTACTAATCTTTTCTTCCTTTCCTCCATGACAGGCAAAGTGATATATACTGTTCAAGGTTTTGTTGATAAGAACAGAGATGCGCAACAAGATGTATTCTTTGATCTCATGAGCAAGTCTGAAAACAAATTCATAGCTGATCTCACAAAATTTCAGGTATTTAATGATGAATTATGTAATACCTATATTAATCACTTGCTGAATAGGGCCATTTCTTAATTACTGCATTGTGCAGGGAATTTATAGTTGATAATTTATTTGTGATCTGTGTATATTATGTAGAATTATTCTCTTTTGTTAATGCAAGTAGGAATAAGGAATAGGAATATCTTTATTTACTACAAGTACATGTACAAGGTTTACAGGCCTAGCTGACATCAGTAACATACTACTACAGTATATAGAAAACTGCTTATTATGCAGAGCATTTCAGGCAAATTAGATCAGTTTTGTCCCAGGATGCAACCCACACTAGTCGACTAATACCCAGGTACCCATTTTACTGATGGTGAACATAGACAACTGGTATAAAGAAACATGTCCAGTGTTTCCACCCCGTTTGCCTGGAATCAAACCCAGACCCTCACCGTGACCTGAGGAAACTGTGTGTGATGTAACTACTGGAAACTTGAAAAAAATTATAGCATATAGCAAGATGTAGACTGAGAACAAGTTCTCGTAAGTTTAGCTCTGCTCCTGTGACTCTTTTAAAGAAAGTGCATTGACCTTGGTGAGAGGCTCTTGATCCTTGGAATTGAAGCCACCTGTAGCTGGGTTGGTAGTGTGCACTCAGCTCTCACTCTGAGGTCCATGGTTTGATCCCTGGTATGGGTGGAAACATTCATTTTTCCCCCCTTTAAAAACGCCTCCGTCCTTAGGAAACTGTGTGTGGGTCTCCTGGGGAAAAATTTAAACCCTTTTTCCCAAATGTCTGAGAACAATTCTCAAATTTAGTTGTCCTTTTACTCTTTAAAAAAAGGTCTTTGCCTTGTAGTCATAAAAAATTTAAGATTTACTTTTTAGTGCACTCGCGTTCCACTTGAGCCAAGGGTTGGCCCAAAAGGGGTAAACAAAGTTTCCTTTAAACCCCTTTTTAGTTAGGGTTGGGAAGGGGTTACCTAACCTTGCTCGGGCTCCGGGCCATTGTAGTCCCCTTTTATGATATGCATGCATTATAGAAGAATTTCTTTTCCACTTCCCCATGGAGGAAAAGTTTAAAAAAAATTCCCTTTTTTAAATTTTTATTTTTACAAATTCTCCCTTTGGGGTCCTTCTGCAATTTTCCATTCTTATGGAATGCCATATGGTTATAGGAAAAATCTGTCCACTTTTGGAATAAAAGGTTTATATCTATAAAATAATTTTTAATTTATTCTCTTCCTTTTCTCAAAACCCATTCGATACAACCAATAACATTCCAATAAACAACCTCCAACTAAAAAGGATAAACCTCAAAATCTGAGTTCTTGCCTTTAAAACTTCTCCCCCATCCGTTTGAAAAAACCATACAAGGGCAGGGAAGAACCTGCGGTCAGAGAGGCAGTCTGGAGTTTTATGACTCTTTGACTGCGGGTTCTATCCCCATCTGTGGTATGGTTTCATAGCAGTGAACTTGTAAAACCTGCAAATAGGCCATTTTAATATGTTTGCTCCTTTTTATGCATTGCAGGATTTACTTGGGTGCACCATAGCTAGGATGGGCACCATACATAGCACTATATCCCGGGGAACCTCCAAAGGCAAACCCACTGTCTCGGATGCTTTCCGAAACCAACTGCAGGCTCTGGTTGATGTCTTGCAATCCACCAACCCTTGGTATGTATCTAGGTCATCAGGTGAACCACAACTAGCTGCGGGCTCTGGTTGATGTCTTGCAGTCCACCAACCCATGGTATGTAACTAGGTCATCAGGTGAACCACAACCATCTGCAGGCTCTGGATGATGTCTTGCAGTCCACCAACCCATGGTATGTAACTAGGTCATCAGGTGAACCACAACCAGCTGCAGGCTCTGGTTGATGTCTTGCAGTCCACCAAACCCATGGTTATGTAACTAGGTCATCAGGTGAACCACAACTAGCTGCAGGCTCTGGTATGTCTTGCAGTCCACCAACCCTTGGGTAGTAACTAATCATCAGTGACCACAACTAGCTGCAGCTCGGTTGATGTCTTGCAGTCACCAACCCATGGTATGTAACTGGGTATCGTGAACCCACAACCAGCTGCAGGCTCTGGTTGATGTCTTGCAGTCCACCAACCCATGGTATGTAACTAGGTCATCAGGTGAACCACAACCAGCTGCAGGCTCTGGTTGATGTCTTGCAGTCCACCAACCCATGGTATGTAACTAGATCATCAGGTGAACCACAACTAGCTACAGGCTCTGGTTGATGTCTTGCAGTCCACCAACCCATGGTATGTAACTAGGTCATCAGGTGAACCACAACCAGCTGCAGGCTCTGGTTGATGTCTTGCAGTCACCAACCCATGGTATGTACTAGGTCTCAGGTGAACCACAACCCTGCAGGCTCTGGTGATGTCTTGCGTCCACCAACCCATGGTATGTAACTAGGTTGTCAGGTGAACCACAACCAGCTGCAGGCTCTGGTTGATGTCTTGCAGTCCACCAACCCATGGTACATGTATGTAACTAGGTCATCAGGTGAACCACAACCAGCTGCAGGCCTGGTTGATTTTCTTGCATTCCACCAACCCAGGTATGTAACTAGGTCATCAGGTGAACCACAACCAGCTGCAGGCTCTGGTTGATGCTTGCAGTCCCCCAAAACCCATGGTATGAAAATAGGTCACAGGTGAACCACAACCAGCTGCAGGCTCTGGTGATGTCTTGCAGTCCACCAACCCTGGTATGTAACTAATCATCAGGTGAACCACAACCAGCTGCAGGCTCTGGTTGATGTCTTGCGTCCACCAAACCCATGGTAAAATACTAGTCATCAGGTGAACCACAACCAGCTGCAGGCTCTGGTTGATGTCTTGCAGTCCACCAACCCATGGTATGTAACTAGGTCATCAGGTGAACCACAACCATCTGCAGGCTCTGGTTGATGTCTTGCAGTCCCCCAAACCCCCATGGTATGTAACTAGGTCATCAGGTGAACCACAACCAGCTGCAGGCTCTGGTTGATGTCTTGCAGTCCACCAACCCATGGTATGTAACTAGATCATCAGGTGAACCACAACCAGCTGCAGGCTCTGGTTGATGTCTTGCAGTCCACCAACCCATGGTATGTAACTAGATCATCAGGTGAACCACAACCAGCTGCAGGCTCTGGTTGATGTCTTGCAGTCCACCAACCCATGGTATGTAACTAGGTCATCAGGTGAACCACAACTAGCTGCGGGCCCTCTGGATGATGTCTTGCAGTCCACCAACCCATGGTATGTAACTAGGTCATCAGGTGAACCACAACTAGCTGCAGGCTCTGGTTGATGTCTTGCAGTCCACCAACCCATGGTATGTAACTAGGTCATCAGGTGAACCACAACCAGCTGCAGGCTCTGGATGACATCTTGCAGTCCACCAACCCACTAGGCAAACTAAAATTAGAAATTGTTTTCCATTGTATAGCTAAAGTCATTTACTTTGAATGCTAAGTTACACTCAAGTTTAAAATAATTAAGTTGTCTGAAGATAAGATTATTAAATGTGATCATTATTTTCAGTAATAATGACAGCCAAGTAATGACAGCCAGGTAATGACAGCCAGGTAATGACAGCTAGGTAATGACAGCTAGGTAATGACATTCAACAATGTTAATATGAAGCTAGCAGTACAAAAGTAATGTGACAATTTTAGTTATAATAGTTAAAGGGAGTTATAAGCATAGTGGTGCCATAGTCTTGAACAGACTCTGGATAAGTAGAATGCTTGAAATATACAATATTTAATATTCATATTCAATATTGAATACTTTGTACTGCATATAAATACATTATAAAAGTTATAAGATGCTGAAGAAATCAAAAATTGTCTTTGGAAGCATGATTTTCCAGTTAGCTGGACTTGAGTCCTGGAAATGGGATGTACAATGCCTGCACTTTAAAGGAGGGGTTTGGGATATTGGCAGTTTGGAGGTTGACTTTTAAACTGTCATATCTGAGCACCTCTGCAAAAACAGTGATTATGTGTGAGTGAGGTGAAAGTGTTGAATGAGGATGAAAGTATTTTCTTTTCAGGGATTTTCTTTCTTTTTGGGTCACCCTGCCTCGGTGGGAGACAACTGACATGTTGAAAAAAATAATAAATGTAAGCCGTGCATGTTGTTACTAGCAGTGGGCTAGTAACCCCCTCTTGTGTAAATTACTGAAAATAATAATAAGAAAAACTTTATAACCTTGGTGGAAAACGGCCGACGTGTTAATAAAAAATTTAGTAAAATGTGAAATTTCTTAAATTATCATTCATTTGTGGTCACTAGTCAGTATAATGTGAAAATTAGCCATTTATTGAAAAACCAATAAGTAATTGCCTCTGGGGGAAACTTAAGCTCCCATTAACCCTCACTTGTGACTGTATCCCTGGGTCCAGGGGGTACAGCCACAGGGGGCTGTACCCCCTGTATCCTCTGTAAATTGTTCATTATAGTGGTAATGAACATTTCATGTTTATGATCTGGCTACAATCGAATGAGTTGTTCATTTTTTTTTTAACAAGTCGGCTGTCTCCCACCTAAGCAGGGTGACCCAAAAAGAAAGAAAATTCCCAAAAGAAAATACTTTCATCTTTATTCATACATAATCAACACTTTCACCTCATTCATACATAATCGCTGTCTTTGCAGAGGCACCCAGATACAACAGTTTAGAAGCATATATAAAGATATTTAACATATCCCTCCAAACTGCCAATATCCCAAACCCCTTTTAAAGTGCAGGCATTGTACTTCCCATTTCCAGTACTCATGTCTGGCTATATTTCATACAGATACAAATTCAATCACAAAAACATTACAGTCTAGTTTATTCGTGGGTTGAATTACCGTCTTTCTAATGCATTGTTTCCTTTCCCTCAGGTATGTGCGATGTATTAAGCCCAACAAGAACAAGGCTGCTGATTCCTATGATGAATCTATGGTACTGGATCAGCTGCGATATTTAGGCATGAACGATATAATCCGAATCAGAAAAGAAGGTTTCCCCATCCATATGACCTTTGAGGATTTCATTGGCAGATATTTCTGTCTCAATAAGAAGAGAAGATATCCAGACCTCAAGCAGCACGTCTGGTGAGTGTCTCAAAGAATTTAGTACAGGAGGACCCTGCTTATATAGCAGGTTAGGTTCTGGGCTACTGCTGTAAGGCGAAAATCACTGTAAAGTGAAGCATAGCCTTTTTCACTTTCAAATGTTTATAAAAGCCTGATAAGTAAGTAAGTTTATTCAGGTATACACAAATACAATTACATAGATTATCATACATAGCAGCATATGTGTAGAGAACCTAGGATAACCCAAAATAGTCAAAGTGACATTTCCATTGGAGTCCTTTATATTTGTATTTATATTTCTTTGTTTACACTATCATGTATTAAGTGAGCAGTAGAGGTAGGCCTAAAACATGTACAGTACACACATTACTTACCTTTAAATATTTTCAATCTTATAGTGAGTGATGAATATATTTACTGTAGGAAGGCTTAATAAATGAAGAATGGGTATAAATGAAAACAGCTGCATTAGCGAAATGCTGTAAATCAAAGCGCTGTAAATCCTAGTGCTGTAAAGCAAAGCACTGCACAATAGTAAATTTCCTAAGGTTTCTTTAGATTAAGCAGCTGTGCTATTGTAAAGAAAATCAATTGTGATAAGCTACACAAATTGTCATGGAAGATAAAAATAAAAATAAAATCTGTGTTCTTCATGAAGATAAAGTACATGGGTTTACAGTGGTTTACCTGGAGTTTACTTGGAGAGAGTTCCGGGGGTCAACGCCCCCGCAGCCCGGTCTGTGACCAGGCCTCCTGGTGGATCAGAGCCTGATCAACCAGGCTGTTGCTGCTGGCTGCACGCAAACCAACGTACGAGCCACAGCCCGGCTGATCCGGAACTGACTTTAGGTGCTTGTCCAGTGCCAGCTTGAAGACTGCCAGGGGTCTGTTGGTAATCCCCCTTATGTGTGCTGGGAGGCAGTTGAACAGTCTCGGGCCCCTGACACTTATTGTATGGTCTCTTAACGTGCTAGTGGAACCCCTGCTTTTCATTGGGGGAATGTTGCAAACGTCCTGCCAAGTCTTTGCTTTCGTAGTGAGTGATTTTCGTGTGCAAGTTCGGTACTAGTCCCTCTAGGATTTTCCAGTTTATATAATCATGTATCTCTCCCGCCTGCATTCCAGGGAATACAGGTTCAGGAACCTCAAGCGCTCCCAGTAATTGAGGTGTTTTATCTCCGTTATGCGCACCGTGAAGGTTCTCTGTACATTTTCTAGGGCAGCAATTCACCTGCCTTGAAAGGTGCTGTTAGTGTGCAGCAATATTCCAGCCTAGATAGAACAAGTGACCTGAAGAGTGTCATCATGGGCTTGGCATCCCTCATTTTGAAGGTTCTCATTATCCATCCTGTCATTTTTCTAGCAGATGCGATTGATACAATGTTATGATCCTTGAAGGTGAGATCCTCCGACATGATCACTCTCAGGTCTTTGACGTTGGTGTTTCGCTCTATTTTGCGGCCAGAATTTGTTTTGTACTCTGATGAAGATTTAATTTCCTAACTTAAAATTGCTCATGTTGATGATTTTTTTTCCATTACAATAATTTTTGAAGGATAATAAATATTGTTTTAGTCTGAGAAATGTATACTGTATTTCCTTCTTTTATTAAGACTCAAAATCAACAAACTTTATTCCTTCATGGAGTACATAATACAAAATGTATTTTTACATGTAACAAAATATTGTATTTTGTCACTTATTGTCCCTCAGTGAAATTTTGAAGAGCCTCAACTTACCACCTAAGGAATGGCAAGCTGGCAAGACCAAAGTGTTTATCCGTCAGAAGGTGTACGAGCCGCTGGAAGACCGCCGCCAGACCACTTGTATTGCAGCGGCAATAAGGATACAGGCTCTTGTTCGTATGCACAGACACAGAAAAGGTTCGTCTTAAACCTCTATGTATTCTGATACAATACATGTTTTTGTTGATGTAGGATTTGTAATGAACCAAGAGTAACTTCCAGGAAAATTATATAAATTCTTATAGTCCCTGTTTTTCCAATTATAATATTGTGCTCTAATTTACAGACTTCTCCATGGAAAGTGGCAAAGAATTCTTCCTCCGTAAGCTTTATGTGTCGTAAGCAGCAACTAAAATACCAGGAACAAAGGGCTGGTCACCCCTTCTCCTGTATAAATTACTAAATTTAAAAAGAAAAACTTTCGTTTTTTTTTATAGGTAACCTTGCCTTGGTGGGATACGACTGGTGTGTTGGAAAAATTAATTTCAGACAATCATATAAAATACACTCTATGTTTTTCACTTACAGAATACAACAGAATACGTGTGGCTTGCTTAGCCATTCAGAATCGATATCGTGGATGGAGACTTCGCCTGGCCTTTATCAGAAAGAGGCGAGCGGTTATCATTATCCAGTCTAACGTACGAGGGATGTTTGCCCGGGAGGTAAATAATCAATCTTTTCTAACAGTACTGTAGCTAGATATAATGTATGCTAGAAGCATGGGAGTGGAGGCAAGTAGTATTGTCATTGACATGACGTTCGAGTGTGTAGTAAATGGAGGCAAATGGTTATTATCATTGACACGATGTTGGTGTGTGTACCAAGTGGAGGCAAATGGTTACAGAGATTGATGTGATGTTGGAGGATGCAGTAAGTGGAGGTAAATGATAATTGTCACTGACATTTAAAGATTACTCTTTGTTGGTGAATATTTTTCCTTCTCTACCTTCTGTGGCCAACGCTCACCCCCT